AGAGCGGTGGGAATTCAGTTTGTTCTACAGTAAATATTTTTAATCACTTAGTTGAGATTTTCATCAAATACAGTCCGTAGGTGACTGGTAATATAAGCTACATCTGAGGACAGATTGGTTAAGTTTTGTTTTGGCCACTCCTTGCTGCAAATCAATATCAATTAAAAATGTGGGGGGAAAGAGATTCCCATTACTTTGCACTAGATCATTTGTGAAAGTGAGTCAGCTGTATTGAGTCAGTTCCCTGTTCTTTTACTAGGAAAAAGAGAGCTTTAATTCTAAGCTCTAGAACATACCTGGATTACTACATGTTTGCTGAACTGGGTGCAAGATGTTGAGTTTCAAAATTTGTGTTCCCTCCCTGCTGCTAGCCAGGGGGAAATTCAGCCCTTTGCCTACTTTTCAAGGCAAAAAACATAAAGAAAACCCCTCAATCCACCTCAGTCTCTGGCCTGTTTGAATATTAGTTCATCTATACACCCCTCCAAAAGTTTCAGAATGCTGTGAGAGATTGGAAGGAGAAATCACCAAGACATCTGTAGGTTTCCAAATGTGCACAACAGAAGAGGAAGTCAGGTTAGCGGAACACCTCAGGGGATATAAATACTTCTACGTGTTTTCACACAGTTTTGGGGAGATTGAACTGTAGCCAGAAGCCTGGTTACATTTTAATGCATATTAGTTAAAAACTGTACAACAGCATTTAGTGTTCATGAAGATGATTGTTACACTTTTGGCATTTTTAGGAAAGCACGCCAAGCTTTAGAGTAAGACTGTACTGTCTGTCAGTAACTAGATTTTGTGCTCACCAAGTACAAAAAACCACAAACATTTTCCTCATTGTCTGCTTTTACCTTGTGTTCTCCCCTCAGGTATGGCCCATTTCCTGTTCCTTTGGAGCTACCTTTGGCTATGTGGCTGGTCTGATTATTGCACCTCTGTGGATATACTGGAACCGGAAACAGCTTACATACAAAAGCAGATAACTGGAGCAAAGAGAGACAAGGTATTTCTTTGTGCAGATTCCATACAGACTGTGCAAAAATTAGGGTTTTTTTAGAAGATATATATATATATATATTTATGTATAGTCAAAGCAGAAGACTGTCCAGATTCATTTAGAGTATTTCAGGCCAAGCATCTCCACTCGCTAAAATCACATAGATGCTGTTTCAGCATGGTGCAGTTTTTGCTTCCTCTAGACTTTGTAACCCTGAGAGATTGTACCTTCCAGTCTGAATAAAATACTTGTAACAGATGCGGTGGCTTCTTATTACGAGGTCGTTGAGTCTGATTTTATTCCTCTGGATTTCACTGGTTGTAGAAGGCAGAACCATAGTTTTAGCTTTCAAGCCTGTAACAACTTTGCTGTGTACTTAATGCATTGTGTTTAAATTCAGTAGAATTTCACAGTAAGCCTGGCCATTGTCAAATGTATCTCACGTGATCAAACAGCAGTTTATGCATCTTGAGCCTATTCTCTTCTTCACTGTGCGTTTCTTTGGAGTTAGAATGGCTATAATAGCTTCATCAAAAACGGTCTTCAGTCCTTTCTGTGTTAGAGCTGAACACTCCACGTAGCAGTAGGCTCCTATCTGTCAAGAAAATAAGTTAATTCAATAGTAGCATTTTTCAGCTGTTCAGTTTTAAGTGTGCACTTCTGCATCACAGTGTTTGGCTGAGATCTAGAAAAGTTACCTGCATGGGCATCCCCCTGTAGAAGAATAGATCTGTCTTTTGGACAAAGATCTGGAATGCATTTAAGTTGGGTTTGTTTATAAAGGAAGCATATTAAATAAGCTCTTTGGATTGGCACTGGAGTCCTAAGGTATTTTTGATAACTAAACAGCAAAAACAGATTACAGAATTATGACCAATTTACGTTTCAAAAGTAAGACTATAAGTAAGTATCCTGAGATGCATTATCCACACTGTGTTAAAATGGTGGTATAGCATCCTCAAATAGTTTCTTAAAGACGATTCCAACATTTTGCTAGAGGAGGAGAGATCCCTTCCAACCTCAACCATGCTGTGATTTTAATTCAGTCTTGACTGATGCTTGTGTAGTTTTTACAAGTGTCTATAAAGAAAGTCAGAACCACTACTACCAGGGAAGTGCTATTACACAGGTCTGCTTGTTAGCCGTGTTCAACACTGAAAGTAAATATTGTTAACTGGTAAGCAGTCAGAAGGTTTCATACATTGAAGTGGTAAAGAAAGAAAAAGTCAATTGGAAATAGGTTTTTTTGCTTCTTTGCTACTTGGTTTCAACTAGGAGTATCCAGTTTACCTCTTTAGCTAACTTCTGTCCTTGCTCCATAGATACGGGCTTCTCTTTCATGTCATTCAGTCTTGCCAGAGTTTTTGGGTCATCACGAAGATCAATCTAGCAAGAAAGATTGCAGTCATGTTGGAATACTTTTTCTAAATGAAAGCAGGCTATATAATACCCTCTAATTAAATAGAAGTATTTATTTAATGGAGTATTATGTGTATACAAATGGAGTCATGCATGATTCAGATCATGGACTCTTCCTGATCCAAAAAGCCCTGGAAATTCAAGCTGTGAACTACTACCTTTAATCCAGAAGGAACAAATGTTTGTTCTGTAATTCAGCTCTTCAATTAGATGTGATCATCTTGGAACACCAGAAGGTATACCCTAGCAGTGGCAGAAGAATTAACCCAAACATGTAGTTACAACATGTGGATCACTTTGTAATTGAAGCCTATTCCACTGGGCACAGGAAACAGTAGGAAATTGTCTCACTTCTCCCCTTGCTCCTTCGCTTCAGCAAATACTGTGTATGACAACAATTACAGACCCAAGTACATGGGTATGAACAGACTTCCTTAAGTCCCTTGACTTTCTAGAAAGTCACAAGGAGAGATGCAGCCAATCTTGCCACTCTTTTTACAGTGAATATATTTTAACAAAATGCAGGTAGCTCATTAGAGAACACCACAAATCTAGGGTTCTTGTGCTAGGTTTGTTCCTCCAAAGACAGAAGGCTGTTGGGCCTGAATTTCCAGCCCAAAAAAAGGCACCATACAATGATCTGAATTAAATAAAGTAGAACAGAACCAGATATACCTGGGTTCCTACTAGTAAAAAGGGAACATTAGGTGCATATTCCTTCAACTCCGGTACCCACTCTTCCTTCACATTTTGAAATGAAGCAGGGTTTACCACTGAGAAGCAGATAAGGAAGACATCGGTCATAGGATAAGATAAAGGTCTCAGACGATCATAGTCTTCCTGAGAAAGAAAAAGTCTGTTATCTGCAATATTAAATTGTATTTTGTTGATTTTAACAGTTATATTCACAAACTGTATTCATATTTCAGGAATTTTGTTGAGGCAAACTTTCTGAATGCTTGCGGCTCTTCCAGGTTAGGTGGTGTGGCTGTTAGAAACTGTATGTGAACATAAATATTTTGAAAAGCTTAATAGAAACTTATTTCTTAGGAGAATATGCAGAAGACTACCCTTTAAAAAGTTTTCAGTTAAAGTAAAATGGGTTCAAACATACTTGCAGATCAAAGGTTAGCACTTCTTTGACCAAAAAGGAATAAGCAGATGTGACTGCTATAGAGCCATGCAGGTTATATAAAGCTAGTCTAGATTAAGGCTATTTAATACAGTTCAGACTTCTCTTTTGGTTCCTATGTAGAGGTGGTATTTAAGGGCCTCTTCAGAATTTTCTTTCTGTCTCTTAGAAACTTCGCTGTCCTGTTGCTAGTGATCAGGCAAAGTAAGGATCAGAGGGACTTCTTTAACCAGACTCTGCTTTCTATAAGCAAGCCCACCAAAAAGTGGGAAGGAACACTATTAGGGAACACTGAGGTTCAAGAACACCATCAGAGGAATACTAATGCCCTTTGAGGGGGCAAGTTAGTGTGAAAAAATTATTATTTGAGTCATTTAGAGCCATAACATAACACACCAGTCCTACTTTCAGGGCATACACTACAATACCTATGAGCATTGTCCCATTGTAAAACAGTTCTCTCTAGCAAGAAAGAAAGTGGATTTTTGCCAGTGAACCAGTGCCTTACCATTCCTAGCTTTGGCTTTTTTTGGTTGGCTGGTTGTTTTTTAACACAGGTTAAGTAAGACTGAGCCTAGGCATTGATAGTGAAGAGTGCTGGTTTTATGCCACCTCTTTCACTATAAACACCAGTTTATTATGGCTACTGCAGCAGCCTCCCTCCTCCCCATGTAAATATTGGAACAATTTGTTCATTAAATGTAGAGACAGAAATATAATTCAACTCCATCTTTGAGTCAAGCCAGAAAATTAAATTTTCATATCCTTGGCAACAGTCACATTACCAGGTTATTAACCTATAGTTGCATCTTCAAAACAGCCCTTCACTGATTGCCAGGTTTTAAAGATGATATCACTAGAATTTCAGAAGACACATGAGAACTTCCTCAGAATGGTTTCTGCTAGACCCATCTTTTCATCTGGAAGTCAACAGCTACGGGAAGAGGCTGTTATCCTCATCATGAAATGGAGAAAAGACAAGCACTGGAGGAGATTCTGCACTAGCAGGGAGGTGACCATTGGCCACTACTCTTTAGTGTCAATCTACACAATGTTCTTATTTGCAGTCAGTATTCTCATGTGCCATTTTGATTATACACTCTCTTGCCAGTCTTGCAGATGTTACAGTTTTGTCAATAATCTAGAGCATACTCAGCTGTAAACATGGGCACCCAATTTCACAACCACAGTAACTGATGCTGCTGGGAAGCCACAACATTTGACAGGCCTGCCTGAAGATCAGTTGTTCCCCTGCTAGTGTCATACTCCTATCCTGATTCAAAAGCAAAAAACCCCAGGAACCTTGTCTTTTTCACATCTGCGAACCGTCATCATAGAGAAATAACTTTAAGAACATCACAACAGCAACTTGAAACTATTCAACATTCAATTCTCTTTTTAAGCATGTATTTTACATTTCACTTCTGAATATAGTTAGGTACTGATCAGGGTTGCCACTCTGTTTCCTGGGTGGAGATCGAAATCCTAAAAGAAGCTTCCCAACTGCAAATTACCCTGGTCCCTGGAGTACAGAATCTGCATGCAAGAACACACAGGCAGATCCGTCAACTGCTCTGAAATTCAGCTCTACTAAATCATACATGGGGTATTACTGAATAGGTTTTCTTTAAAGAAAAAATCCAGTTTAAAGTCGTAATTCATTCCTACTACCAAAGAACTGCCTTCACTACACGGAACATTTTCTATACACCTCGCATCTGGGTTACAATAACTAGAATACTGTCTGCATTAAATGCTGGAATGGAGAAAACGCTTCCCTCTCACCAGAAATTACACTTAGTCCATTGACCTTAAAATACCTTTTTAGTTAATCCATTTCAAACCTCAGATGGACCTTTTATTCGTGGCAAACACTAATCATTTTCTGATCTCAAAGCTGAGTTACATTTGCATGGTTTGCTTCGGAACTTTCGTATTTATCTTTTTAAATCCCATTGGATACAAATCCTCATCCATTTAGCCACATCTTGGTCCTGCGCCTTACTTCCCATGTATTCCTCAGCAGTCATCTAGCAGTGAGCAGTGTTACTGCTTTTTAAGGCGCGTGTGTTGCTGAACTCCTTTCCTGCCCCTGCATCTATTTATATATCTGCCTTTTGATTTATACCCTGTCCCATCTGCACTGGGCAAGCTGTGGGTCTGTCCTGTGTAATTAAGAAGTTCAGCTGCAGGCAAGTACAGTGTGATTGGATACATCATGTGCCACGGCCAAAGAAGTACGTGTTATTCACTACAGTGACTTCACTGCATTCACACTTACTTAAATTAACAGAGAATTTGGCTGTACCCACCAATCCTGCTGCTTGAAACAAGTCAGTGCTGCCAGGCTCACCTTTAAACCTTTGTCTGTGCTATGAAAATTAGGTGCATGTTGATACTAACAATGGCAGGTAATTCCAATAAAGCCTCCCACCGTGTGATTAGACTGGTCCTGGGTCTTCTTAAGAAAGACCCTGGCTTAACTGTTATCAGCATCTAGCAGGCCGTATGTGCTTAAAGACTCCTGCTCCCCAGCAGCCGCTCAGAAACCTGAAAACCTCCTCTGATGCACTGGGCCTAAATAACTGCTACACTGCATAGAAGTGAAAAAACAAATGAATTTATAGACTGAGTATTAGAGAAGCCTGGAAAAATGGGATTGCTTCAACTATATTTTCTGAATCTATCATAAGGGAAATAAATGCAGCTAATTCTAAAATTAAATGCAGTGGCAAAACCTAACTATACCAGCCAGTCAACATAAATTCCAGTTTGGCTGCATGTACACACCACCCTGTACAGCAATTAAGACTTCCAGACTAATTGGGGGAGCATAATACTGCCTGTATATTTAGGCATTAAAAATATTTAAAGAATTTTACTGGAATATTTTAAGAACGTGAACAAGATAGGCAAGAAAGCCATCTGGATCCACATCCAAGGATGGAAATATGCAGTACAAGTCTCAGAAACTCCAGGCTGTAATGGGGAAATGGCTCATTCTCCAAAATACTGTGGACTTTAAAACAAAACTGTTTGCTGAAGCAAATGAATACTTACAGAAAAACATGCTGAAAATACAAGAGCTGTAATAACTTTAAACAAACTGGATGTGAATATGTTTGATTAATTAATGTTATACAGAGTTGTGATTCCTATAAAAGATACTCCATTGCAGCAGGACCATCCATCATTCACCTAGAATCTCTCTGGCAGCTCAGCACAGCTGCCAATACAGAACAGACATAGGAAAGGACATGAGATGGAGGAACTAGTGACTTGGCTTCTCAACTACAAACTGGGAAGGACCCTTTGGGGTTTTTTGGTTTGTTTCATTTTGAAAAGAGCAGAATTGAAATTCCTACTTTTATATTTTCATTTTCTTTTCTCATACATCTGAGGGCTTCCATCTTTAAGCAAATAGAAAACAAACTGGTGTGTCATTAACATTGTGGCAGGGGCTCTGAGCAAGGTGTGTCATGCTTATATATACATACACTATATTTTTAATATATATTACTTATAACATAATGTAATGTCCATTCTGATGGAACAGAGTAGCTAATGATTTTATGTGGTTTGCAGCTTAGGAACAGAATTTTAAGGATAGTTCTCCAGTTACATTATACTGACATACTGTTATAAACAAAAGGATAAGCCTATTTCTTTTCTGTTCTGATAAGACACAAAGTTGATGGCAGAGAACAAAACAAAGCTTGCCCCTCTGGAGGAAAACTGGAGCTCAGCAACTCCAGGTTTGTGATCTCTGTGTTAGCAACCATCTGTTGCTTTCACAGCTTACAACTGCAATCATAAGAGGAGGTTCTCACTCCCAACCATCTGTTTTTAGAGGGGAAGCCAAAAATAGACATCAGGCAGAGTTGCTAGAGGAATCCAACCTTCACGCAGTGAAGGGTAATCCCTGCTGCTGCTCAGGGGGTCTCAGTGAGGCACACATGTGCAACTAGCTGGTTTCTGTGGAGCAAAACCCGAGTTATAAGTCCAAGTTTTAACCCATTTCATAGTAGGGCATGGTAGCCACAGTTAGAAGTCCTCTCTCAATGTGAATTGCCATGCTTTCATTTTTGAAGTGCATTTCAAAGCTATCCTTTATGACTGCATTTTTCATAGTTTTCCTCCCTGAAAACGAACTTCGATTTCAGAAGGACCCTGTAATATGTCAGAAAATGTAAGGAGTGAACCGTAACAACTGTTGTATCTGACACATGCCCCAGGGACTAACAGCTCACAGTTACCGCAGTGGACACATCCTCCCACCTCCCCCAGATTATTTGGCATTAAAGGCTGATGTGCAGCTTTGCCATAAAGCACCAGGGAGAGCCTCTGAGAGCAACAGCCCATTCCAGCAGCACACCAGGAAGCAGCCTTCACCCTGCTGAATCATGCTGTGGTTTCTGATTCTACGAGATGCCTGTGGGGTAGAGAGAGAGGGAAGTGCTCTGTCCTGCCCCATGCCAAGCACAAATTGCTTCCCTGGCTAAAAACCTCTCCAAATTGTTTCAGTCCGGTCTGTGTAACGCTGCAGCCCTTTGCAAAGAAGGAGGATGGCGCATCCCAAGGATGCTGGCTTCCTGGCACTGCTGCTCACACAGCACCACTAATGCCAGGTCCATTTGGCAAGCTGCAATTCGGACTGACACAGCATTGCCACAAAACGTCTGCTTGTCCAGTTCTGCAGCCCAAGCCCTATTTGTTACTGTTCATAGCTTCTGAACACACAAAACAAGATGTGCTGGTCATTCCCTGGCTGGGAATTCCC